AGAAAATTTTTACAAGTAGTATAATCATTGGGAAAAGTCTCATAGAGAGGATAAATAATTAATACTCCTAAACAAGGTTCTAATTCATTGGGAGAAGGATATAACAATAATTTTTCTCTCTTAAATTTTGTAAAAGAAAACGTAAAATGAGAAGCTTAGTATGATTGTGTTGTTGTTGTTGTTGTGTGCTTTATTTCAATCATTGAACTCTTTTTTTTTTTTTATAGTTTTCAAAATGTGACTTTTGGAAACCTAGTGATTGTACATGTTTTGTCGTCTAAATGTGATTGAACAATTTTACACAAAGAAAAACATGTAGTAACTGAGGAAACCTAAATCATATTCTCAAGGAGCATTGATGAATAATAATAGACTTACTTTCCAATTGGAAAAAAAGTTAAGGGTGATTCATATGATTTTGTATTTAAACAACTAATGGAAAATAGTAAAACTATATATAATTGAAAATAGTAAAGAAATGCAATAAAATTATAAAAATATATAAAATACAGTGGTTAATTCTCTAATCATCCTTTTGTTTCATTAATTATTATTGATTTCTAGACCTAAATATAACCACGAGATAAATCCATAATAATTATAATAATTCATAACTCAAATAGCTAGATCCAATTAATTCACTACATTTTATTAATTTAAAAACACATATTAAACCTATAAATTGATTGATGATGTAAATGGATTAAATTCAAGAATTATCTCAATTATATTGATTATAATTAATTATGAATAGTTAGAATGATAAGTCATTAAAATGCAATAGAATACTAGAAAACTATAAAGAAATATAAATTGCTGAAATTAAAGTAAAACAATAAAGGGGGACAAATTTGATCTAATGCTTTGTTGACAAAATTCAAACTAGATATGTAGAAGACTAAATTTGAACTAAACTTGAAGAATTTGAAAAGTCCAAAACAATAACAAAAGAGAAACTAGATAGAAATTTTGAAAACTATTAATTTTGAAAACTATTAAAAATTGAAAACTAACTAAAACATAATTTACATCTCCTGACTTTTTAAAGGTACTAAAATGCACAAGACTCATAAATATTAATAACAAATTACAAGTTAGAACTTATTCGTCAGTTCTGTAATAGTTCGATTTACAACATCTCCTTGAATGTTTCTTATTTCACTAAACACAATAACTAATTAAATTATCTGAACCATATTTCGTGTTTTTTCTCAGGGAAATTCTTCTTTGTTGAGTGGATTGAAAAAGTTAAGAATGTGTTATTTATGATTCAGTGGGCAAAATGATGTTTTGCTAAGCCAATTTCTTAAATCAAAGCTTCTAATCTTCTGTAGTTTATTATTCTTGTATTAATGTATAAATACTCAATAAAGTATACAATTAAAATAATGAGTTAACTAAAAATATATTTAATTATATTTTATAAAAAATATGTTAACAATGAATAATTACATAAAATAACTATATACGCTTAAATTTTTACACTTCCAAGTCAAATAAGGAATAAAAAAATTAGATATGAAAGTACATTTTATGAATAAATCAAGTTAATAGTTAATAATTTCATTATAAAAACTTCACGGTCATAATGTTCAATTACAAGTGCTCATTAAACATAATTACGATTTAAAATTCTCTCAATAACTAAGTTAGCATATAATAATTAATTATAAAAACTTCCCCATCATAACATTAAAACATAAGTATTAATCAAAACATAAATAAGATTCAAATTTTCCACTTCAATGCATTCAATCACTCAAATATTTAAGGTAATTTTTTCTAATTAAGTAACCCTAGACTTCACATATAAAAAATAAGTAACCATAAACTTCACAAATTTTTAATTACATAAACTGTAACCTATGAAAATTAAAGATCAAAATGTATTTTAAATAAATTATAATAAAGTTAAGGTCATGATATAAACAAAGGAAATCAAAATTTAAAATTAACTTAGAATTAAAGAAAAAAATAGAAGGAATAAAATTTTAAATAATTAAAAATATACTTCATTATATACATATTTTCTTTTGACCATTTTCCTTTTTTTTTTTCTTATTTTACATCATTTTATTTAGCTTTGCAAATTTATTCGTCGTTGGGTGATTTTTATTTTACTTTTAAATAATTTAAAGTTTCTAGAATGAATAAGAGAAATTTGATGTGATAAGTGAAATTGTAACAAAATTAATATCCAACTTTTGTAATTTAGTTCTTTGCATCCTTATAATTATTTTAAATAATTTATAACATGATTTTAAAACTTCTAAAATCATCAATCTTCAGGTAAATATTATTTTTCATAATGTGGCTTAAATTAATAAAGAATGAAAATATTATATTTAAAGAGTCTAATCAATGGTTAATAATTTGTCTCTAGCACATAAGAAATGAATTATCTAAATAATTTTAATAATTATATATGATCAACTTCAGATAAATAAACAAAATTTTAAAATCTTAAATTCAAGAATAAATTAATAAAAGAATAATTATGCTTAAAATCTATATGACTTATTTTCTATCTATAAGTATAATTGATCAAGAGTTATATAAAGAAATAAATATATCAAGTTATTTTAACAAAAAATGTTAATTTAAATAATTAAATATCAATTCCAACTTAAATTTATTGGTAAAATATATGAAAAATTTAAAAATAACACATAAGAATCACTCTTATAACTCCACATTTGAATTTTGCATTACCCTCAAATTTAAGAAACAAAAGGCAATAGCTGAATAATATTTAAAGATTCATTAAAAATTGAAAATTCATAAAAAAAATTAATCTATAACCATTAACTTTAAATGATTTACATGTAATTTCCATCTTAATTTCAACTTCTTTGCATTGAAAGAATGTAGGTATAATATAAGGACTATCCCATTTGGATCTTAATTTACCATATATTAATTAATCTATAATTATACAATAAACTTTTTGTCTAATAATATATATTTTTTAAATATTCTTATCATGAAATATTTTTTTCCTTTTTTATATAAATTGTATAATTCTCATGTGCTTATAGTCTTAATTCTTCTAATTATAATAATATATGTTTATTTGTTTCATCAAAAGATAACTTACAAACTTTAACAACCAACTAAATTTTATGCTCTATTTCAACAAAAAGATAATAAACCTTATCCAAAACAATCCTAAAAATGACATTCTTTGAATCCTAACTCCTGGAATCCCTAACTTGCAAAATATATTAAATTTTAAAGTAATCTACTATTATATCATAATTAATTGGTGTGACTTTAGTTCCACCCATTTAGATATATAATCAATAACTACTAAAATATAGGAAAAAAAAACCCCCATAAAATCTATTTCCCATGTATCAAATATTTACAAAATTATAATAGTTGTTGAGGCATTTAATATTTTTTTTATGTATATTATCACCTTCTTTTTAATAAAAAATATTCATCTAATTAGTCTAAGTTTAGAATTATGTTTCAATAACAAATATTTAAAATAGTGTGATTAGTATAAACATGAGAACTTAATAAATAAGATCTAAATTTATTAAAAGCATAAATAATAATTAATAACTTTTTAAAAAATAATATAATTAATTTATGGAGAATCTAAAGTTCTAAATCATAATAAATAATAAAAGGAGCTTTCTTTATTATTTGTCTAAGTACTGCTCTCAGTATATTTTAAAATTATATTCAGTTATTTTAAAATTCATTTATTTTATGATAATCATATTTTAGTTTTAATCAAAACAATTAAAAATAAATTTTATCACTTTTCTATAAATATAAGAATATGTTAGAGGAATAATTATTGGGATGTTACAATATTTTAAATAAGAAATATTTAAAAATTATGATTTAGATATACAACTTTATCATTTAGGATATGAACTATGATAATTTAAAAATCTTAATGTTAATAAAATAAAAAAATTGTCAACTCAAATACTTTTAAAAAGCAACGTAACTTTGATTTTTCATTGGACTTTAATATACAGTGACTAATCACGTAAGTGCATGATGAAAGTCTTCAAGTTCGTGAGATTTTAGTTCAATGAATTTACCCCTTCTTTAACAATGTTGATTAAAAATAAAATAAAATAATTACTAAATAATATGTGAAAACAAGATAAAATATTTTAATTATATTAAAAATAAATATTTGTCATAATTATTGTAAAACAATATATATATTTTACCTAAAAATAAGGCTGAAAGATTATTAGAAGTGGATTTGATCTTAAAAGTCCAATCTTACTTATTATATAAACAAGATTTAAGTCTTAAAAGTTCATCATTCAATATCTAAAGTTCATAATCTCATGTACTCTTATCTCATTTTATATGAGTGTATTGTATCTTATACCATTTACATTTAAACATAAAAACATAGAAGTATTAATGATTTTGAGTTAATTGGATGAGTTAGTAATTGAATATGTGACAGAAGGATGATATTTATGTATATTTAGTTCTACATAATTTTCTTATACGTGTCTATAAAATTCTTGAGATATATTTTATACTCTTCTGTATATTATTGTTTAGGTTAAGAGCTTTTATAGGTAAAACATGTTTTTATTAGGAAAAAAAAGATTGTGGTAGTATAACTTAAACTTATTTTATCATTATTAGATGAGATGTGATATAGGATAATTAGTTTTGTTTCTAATCAACCAAGAAGGTAATTTTTTTTTATATTAGTTGAATAATCGGTGTAAAAAAAAAACATAATATACAGCAGTGAACAAACTCTTCATGCAAAACTGAAGAGTCATGGTTGAAAGAATTGAAAGAGTCAAGAAATTGGAAGTTAAACAAGGTACAAGTATGGGACAAAAGCATAAACACACCTCTTTATTTAGCCAAAACAACAATTACAATTACATTTGTTCCATACAATACAACAACATAAACATAAATAAACCTCTTTATTTAGCAAAAGCGAAAATTAAAATAACATTTGTATTCAGTGTAGTAAGTTATTTCATAGAAGTTTATTAGTGCATTTTAAATGATAGACCTGATCCACTTAATTTTTCTTCAGTAATTTTAGATAATTTTTCTATCATAGAAGGAGATAAATAATTTATCCAATCTCCTATTTTACCCTTCCGAAAGAAGTTCTTCTTCTCAGTGAACTTGTCAATTTCTCCTGATTTGTTCACTTCCAAATCCTTCATCTTCTCAAACCTACATAGTTTGATTATGTTTTCAACCATTTCGGTACTCTCTTCTCTCTGAGTGATGGTACAACCCAAAAACTCTACCATTCTTTTCACATGAAATTCTGTATCCTCTTTAAGATCCTCATACTTTAAGAACAAAACTTTGTTTGGTGTGGCTATACTCTCCTTCCAGAAACCTAACATATGACTCCACCATGGACCAAACCCCACTATTCCATTGCAATACTTTTCAAATGCTTCCTCATACGTTAATGCAGGTAAAGACACTAACTTGAGTTTGGTGAAGAATTCCCATGATGAAACAAAAATATCAAATGGATTCCTACATATATAAATGATCTTGCAGTTAGATTTCGTGACTGACTCGGGTAATGAAGAGAATGGTACATGAGTAGAAAAAAGCCTTGGCTCACTCATGTTGGAGAGGGAAAGAACTTGGTCATGGAAATCACGAGACAAGATAAATTCAGGGTAAGACACAAGTTCATGAGGATTGGAAGTAAGTAATGGATGGTGTTCGAAAGAGGAAAAACTTGGCAAGTTTACAATAGCAAAAGTAAGGGCTTTCAACCATGTAGTGCCTGATTTTGGAAAGCTAGCCACAAAAACATCATTGTCTTTTGCATGAAAATGTTTCTGGAAATTCTCTACTCCTTGAATACAATGTGATGGGCACCAAAAACCTTGAAATAGATGGAGATAAGGGACTGCACCCAAGCCACTCTCTTTGGGAAGGGAGAGAACAAGCTCATGGTGCTTTTCATTTACTTCTTGTTGGTCACTTGCCAAAGCCATTAGATGAATATGAATGGTAAATTATGAGTATAATTGAATCAAAATATAGCTAGTGGGGGTACCTTTTATACTATTTTTAGTGGTTCATTATAAGAATTAAAAATATATGTTTATATGTCTGCAACATGCCCTTTTTTTTTTCTAAGCATTTACTGCCGTATACTGTTACATTTATGGTTAACCTAACTGATTTTATTGCCATCAACAATAAAGAGAAACAATACATTAACTTGTTGGATTTGGTTTTAATTTTTTTTTTCAAAAAAAAAGTTTTCAAACTCAATTTTAAGAACTATTTCCAAAAATAAATTGAAAAAAAATTATTTAATAACTTTAATTTTTTTAAAATTAAGTTTAAAGAAGATCATACCAGTCATGACATATTATTAAAACTTTGAAATAGCAAATATGTTTTATTGATTATTTACTTTTTAAAAAATAAAAAATGAAAACTATTTTAAAATTATTTTAATAAAACAGTATTAAAATTAATTTTTTAGTTCTTAAAAAAAATTAACCAATACAAAATATTTCTCTATTTCTTACAAATAAAGATTTTAAGGGATGATAATTCGTCGGAAACGACCCAAGAATTTCTTTTAGTAATTTCCATATTACAAATAATTTTTTAGTATTTTACATCTTTACTAAAAAAATTATTGTCATCTCTTAATTTTTTTTTAAAAGAAAGATTCAAATTTTAAATTCAATAAAGATGTAGGTACATGAACATATGGATAGAGGTGTTTTTGGTCAATTTTTGTCAAATTTATTATTCAATTCAATAATAATAAAAAAAATCTTAAGTTAGGTTTGATCAAAATTTGTGTATTTTTTTTATTCAAAGTCAATCCAATCTAACTTATTTTTTAGTTATTGAATTGGGTTAGTTGTATCACAAATTTTTATTTTTATTTTAATTTCAAAATATCTTTTTTATATTTTTTTAATTTTTTTCTTACATATATTAAATATTAATAAAAAACTTAACCCAAACTATTTTAATTGAATTAGGTAAGAATAGGTAATTGATATACTGTTTAAATATATAGGTAATTAATTAGAAATTATGATTAAATATTGCTATAATTTAGTGCATGTTTGGTAAATTATCCAACCTAAAGTTGATTTTAGGTTGTAATGTTTGGTACAACCTAAAGTTATTTAATTTAATAAGAGTTATTTGTGAACAACAAAGAAACATAAAATATAGTATACTATATGTTATAGATAAGGATGTTTTGATTATAATTTTTAATTAATTAGAAGCTTTTATAGATAACTATAGTATACTATATCTTGTAATATTTCTCTTCAAATTTTAAATAAAATAAAATAAAATAATATATTTCAAATAGACATAAAATATCTAAAATAAAAGTAAATTTATAATTAGAGTATACTATAAGCAATGAGTTTATAAAAGTAAAAGTAGTAAAATGAGATGAAGTATAAATATTTTATTAAATAAGTTAAAAAGCTTATAAATAAAAGAAAATTTAACAATTTTAAAAAAATTATAAAGAAAAAATACTACCTTTTTAATATATATATATATATATATATATATATATATATATATATATATATATATATATATATATATATATATTGTCTTCTATCTGACTTTTTAAGTGATTTTTTGATATTTTTTCTTTATTTGAATCCACCATATATTCATTGTAGGAAATAATGATATTTAGGGTGGAAATTAAAAATAAAATTAGTAAGAGTTAATTACTAGTAGAAATTTAAGAGTGCATAAGGGGATTATTATTATAATTTAGAGTATTACAATAATTTAATATATAAGTAAGTTCATTTGTAATCTAACACGGATCTAAATAGATGAATTTTGATTGAAAATTAAGTTTCTTTTAGAAAATTTCGTGGCATTCTGTATCAATCCATTCTCAATTTTATCAAGTGACCTAAGACAATATTTTTCATGACTTATTACTCACTTTATCTTTTTATTTTATTTTATTTTTTAAGTATGATTTCCTAAATTGAATATTTTGTTTTCGTATTCATATAAGTTTGTATCAAATTTTTGACTCTTAATATTTAATATTTTGTGAAGCGATATAATCTTTCTACAAAGGCTATTCTTCAATTTTTGGGCATGAAAATACGTCTCAGATAGTCAGATGATTATCATAAAATATTTCCAATATATCATAAGATTTATTTATTGAAAAATCTGCAATTTTCTAAACTCAAAAATTAAGAAAATTTTGGGATTTTGTCTTGATAAAAAAAATATTTTTTTATCCCTCATTCTTTGGGTTGATTTATAGCATACTCTATTCTGGTAAGATTATATACAGTAACTCTAGGTGCTACATCACTTTTAGTTGAATTTTTTATCTATGACAAGTACAAGTGTTAAAGCTACTCCTTAATTAATACATATAACATATCATTTATTGATGATTTTGCTACACAAATGGAACCGAGATGAACTTGAAATTGAGTTTGAGAGGAAGAGAAAATAAAAAAAGAGTATATAGAGATAAAGAGATATAATGTTGGATGCGTATTGGAAAAATATGGTGTAATTATTATGAAAGAGAGAAATATTGAGAAAAAAAAATAAAAAAGATATGGTGGAAAAGAAAATTAGAGAAAAAGAAATAAGATAGGAGTTTAGAGAAGAAATAAAAGAGAAGGAATTGATAAAAGAGAAGATAAATGAAAAAAATTGAGAAAAAAAAAGAGAAGTAAAAATAAAATGTGGAGATATCTTTGCTTATTTAACAAATATGGTTGTTTTTTTACGAGACGTGTCGGTTTGAAGAATGATGTAATTATATGATTTAGAGGGTCAACCTAAATTTAAGTTTTTCTTAAAAAAAAAACTCTTTTATTTTTAATTAAGTAGGCTAAGGCTAAATTATCAAGTATGAGCATGAAAAAAAAAAAACTCAAGAGAAAACCACCATTCACATTCTCATAATTGAAAATAGTAATGTTTATGGTGATAATGAAAAAATACAGTGAAGATTTAAGAATCCATATTAGGAATGAATTAGTGAGAATTATTATTGCATTTTAAAAGTTCATTTGTAATTCAATGGAAGATATGAATGAAAATTAAGTTTCCTCTTCAAAGAGTTTTATAATATTATGAGTTACATGAACATATTTTCAATTTTATCATTTTATTTTTCATTGATCTATTTTTTTCATTCTTTTATCATTTTCAATCTTTCAAATCAATCCGTTCATTACATTATTATCCTTCTATTATCTTTTGCTTATTCAAATTTTCTAAATCTCTTCAATCAATTTGATTTTTTCAATTTTTTAACCAATATGACAAAAACAAAGTTAATTTTTATTCTTCTTTATCTTTTCTAAATATTCTACATCAATTTTAATAGTAACTAATATTATTTTATTTATAATTTATCTTATTATGTCATATTTTTTTTATTTTATTATTTATATTGGTCATATATCAAATTTTATTTTAATAAAATAATTGTATTTTGAAGGATTAAATAAAATTGGTAATTATAATTTTTATTACTTTAAACTAATTAAATAAGAATTAACTTATTAAATATTTTCTTATAAACTATATATTTTATATTTATTAATATTTTAAAATGACAACTTAAAAAAATCAACTTTATATAAAATAATAATAATAATAATAATAATAGTAAATCAACTTTATATAAAATAATAATAATAATAATAATAGTAGATGTTATAAGTATTCTATAGTTGTATAAAGAAAAAAATAATTAAATGTTTCTTTTACATATATATTTTAATAATAATAAATTAAAGTATATACTTAATAATAATAATAATAATAATAATAATTAAAAATTATAAAAAATTATTTTTGTATAAAAATTATTAAAATTAATTTATTATAAATATAATTATTAAAATATTTTTAGAGATAATTTAGAAAGAAACTAGTCAGGGAAAACTTGAAACCCAATAGGGACGGGGATGAAGATTTAATTTTTAACCTAGACGAGAGATTGAGGACACGGGTAGGGATGGTTAAAAAAATTAGGGGTGGGGTCGAAAAGGTAAAACCTATCGTCATCCCATTGCCATGCCAACTCAGAAGCCTCTTCTTCGGATCAATAATTTTGATAGAAGAAGAGACTGTAAAAAAGGAGTAAAGAGGAAATATCATACATTCTTAAAGAAAAAAAAAGTAAATACAGAGGAAATAATCTCACCAAAGGGTATATTGGTTAAAATGGACATGTGATTGATATGGGTAAGCCAATGTAGCAAGTCAATTTTCATAAATGAAGGTAAGGGTGATAGGATAATTTTGAAATGGTAATAGATTTGTTCACTGGTTTGGGATATAGAAGTTCATGGTCTAGTCTAAGTTCTTGAACTCATTTGGGATGAGTTAAAGATTTAGAGATTCCAAAGGGAGTGTAAGGGAATGTTAGTAATTAAGTTGGTAGGACAAATTTTTTTAAAGTGAGTTGTGCCTAAAAGATTTATGATTTGTCTAGAATCTTGATTTTGGTAAATTTTGTCTCGTAAAAAAAAAACTATATTCCTAAAGGTGGATTATAATCAAAGAGAGTAATAACATTCTTGATAAAAATTCTCAAACTTTATGATTTGAAGATAATGTTCATATTTACCTTTCTTGGCCTTTGGTTTGTCCTATACCACAAATTCAAGATAAGCATCCAATCGAACTTTTATAATAACAAATGAAAAGTGCCTTGTGGAGAATCACTGATCCCACCAAGCGTAAAACTTAAAGGTACTAAGGAAATTGGACTCGAACAGGGCAATGTGAAATTCAATCAGCTCCGAGGGAGTCAATTAAGGAATTCCTCTCTTAGGCTTGATTCATTGTAAAAGATACCTCATTAAATGATTCGATGAAATCTAAGAAGTGAGAAATCCTTAGCTCAAACCTAACTTATGAGAAAAGTGTTGTGGGACATAGGGGAAGAATTTAATGTCTTTCATTTAGAATCCAACTAGCAATATGTCCCAAATCACAAACCCAGTCCAAATTTCAATTAATTCAGTTTGTAATCATAAAGTGTTTGTTGGAAGTTTCAATTTGAGCCAGAATTGACCTCGAATGTGATAATGCCAATTTTGGAGAATGGGGTAAGAATGATGTCAAAATTTTGTCGTGATAACAAGAATCTTATGTATGTTTTGTACTTGGTTGAGTCAGACTTGTAGTGTCTAGGGTGTCGAGTGACTAACCTGACATCTTCCATTGGATATGAGGGGATTGGGGTCGAGGTGACTTCAAGTGTAGAGAGATGCGATTCAAAAATGGAAACCAACCAAATTTGGATAAACCATAGTGGTTTAGAAAGGTTACCACTAGGGTGGTTTGATCAGAGAGCATCCACTGCTTCATCAAAAGCAATATACACATGGGTCAATAGTAACTTAGCCAAACAAATGTTTGGTGATCCTTGATGTAGAAGGTGTGTTAAGTTAAAGTAATGTTAAGAGATTTGGATTAATCAGTGGCAGAAAATGTGTGTACATAACCAATACACAAGGAAAACGATATGTTCTTCATCAGAAACAACAACATTTGGGTCGTCGATGAAGTGCTCTTGTAAGAAGTGACCATAAGCTTTCCTTCTCCATCAAATTTTAACTTCATGCTCCTTGTCAGTAGGAAAAATATTTATGTGATATTTCTCTCGAACAACTTAAGACTTGTTATGGCAGCCACCTGGAGAAGAGTTGGAGTAACTGGGCTGCATGGATGTTTTAGAACGTTGAGATCCCTATTCCAAAGTTGCACTGTTGGAAGAAACATCAACATATCAAGGTAATCGATGTTGAATCGAAAAAGGTAGAGTAAATCAAAGATACTGATCTTCTTCTAGTGTGCATTGAACTTGGACTCTACTCTATTGAACCATTTGAGGTGAGATAACTTTTTCTAGGGTGGCCCAAAACGATAAACTTTGCATGATTGAGAAATGAAGTCTATTCTAAACTTCCCTTCTTCTTTTTGTAGAATAGATTTTCCTTCTTCGGATGAAGGAAAATCCTCAGGCTCATTTGGGTCTAGGATCAGAAGTTTGCCAAAGGCATAAGATATATCTCCTAACGAGTATGAAATGAGTACCTATGTCGAGCAGATTTTTTGTGATTCCTCTTCTAAGCCATGAATCAAAGTAAAGGTCTTGCCGTTGATCTCAAAAAAATTGTGTAGAAATAGGGTTGAGGTTGAAAAATTGAGAAGTAACTGAGGAAGAGACCATGATGCTTTGGATAGAGGAAGAAATTTGATAAGAATGCATAACAAAGCATAAAGAGAAGTAAGGATGCTTGGAGGTTTGGAAGAGTGGGGATTAAGAAAATTTGGAATGAGTGTCAAGTAATGAACGAGATGAAACAATTTAAAGTTTAAAGAAGATGAATTCTCGAGAAACCTAAATGTTAAACGAGCTTCATATTAGCCCATATCTATGTCATGCAATATTTTAGCCTAATATTAAAATTAATGACGATTAGATGGATGATGATGGAAGAGATAGAATTTATTATGGGAATTTGACATTTATGAGGGGAATAAGACTTAATGATAAAAACATGGGTCATGTAGCTTTTAGATGAATTGAAGCAAATTAATAAATTGAAATGTTGGAATGAGTTGTATTGTAATAAAAAAAATAAGAGAAATGTACATTCATCGAAATCCATGTTATATTCTCTTAGGGGACATTTTTGTTATTGACAAATTTATAAATATATCGATCAGAATAAATTGAGAAGGGTGAGAGGTCTCAAGGAAAATAATGATAATGAAAGAAGAAAATCAAAGTTATTAAAGATTGAGCATGTTATGGACAAGAATAATCTAAGAGAACAATTAATTGAAATATATAGATCAAGAGTACAAGCTAAAATTAATGCTTATGATAAGAAAATGCTTAAAAGTGCGTATTATTGAGAGGAAAGATTGAGTTGAACAAATAAAAAATCAATTGAAGGTATGATGTGAACGATCAAATGTGTGGAATCAAATAATTGAGAATATCAAGTCAGCGACTGCAAGACGAGAGAAATAAGACATCAAAGAGTTAAGCAATCAAGAGATATGCGGAAGTAGTTATAGCCTCATTATGTGACATGTGTGCTTATGACTATTATATAATAACAAAATGACTCGAGAAAATAGGAGAATGGTTAAAATGAAGTATCCATTTGTGGATTTTATTTTATTTCATTTCTTGTATTTTATTTTACTTCATCTTATTTTTATTTTTATTTTAAAGTGTGTTAGCGATTACACAAAGAAAATATAAATAAGGAGAAATAAATGTAAAAGAAGTGATTGTCAAATGGTAGAAGACTTGCCTTTTTGGAAAATGTTATGAATAGGAAACAAATATTTTTAATAAAATTATTTACAAATTTAATAGTTATCTTTATTTATTTTCTTTATCAATTCATGGTTTATCCATGGTAATAGGTTAAATTTATCTTTGTGTAATTTATTTTTTAACAATTTACTTTGATCACACTTTTACTATTCTCGTTATTTTCTTTAAATGTTACAAATTATATTAAAAATCTGAATTATATATGAAATATCATGAATTAAAATTTTTCTTATTTTAATTATCGAATGATTGATATTGATTTTATCCTAATCTTCTAAAATTGAAAAGTATTTTTGTTTGCTAGTCAAAATTAAAAGAATGCACATAGTGTTTGAATGATTCATTGTGGACTTAAGTAAGAAACAAATTAATCGAATAACGAGTTATGTTACACTAAAAACAAGTGGATTAAGAGAAAATAATGTATATAAATTATCATTGATAATTGATCTCGACTTTTAAGCGAACTGAAATTCACAAGTGTATTGAAATATAATCCTAGTAAAAAATTAAAGAGTATAAGAGTGGAACGAAACTTAACTCTCGACCTTATAACCCATCTAAGAACAAGATTGTTATGATCTTATATATAATATCTTAAAAATCAATTTTAAAATAAATTTCTCATGCATTATATTTTATCCTTAAAAAATATATGGATAGTAAGCTATATATATATATATATATATATATATATATATATATATATATATATAATACTTGAAAGTGATCAAATATAATCCTTGAAACTCGTCCCAACTTTAACATATAAGCTTTCATATAACCATTATTTTGGAATGAAATAAGTATTTGAAAGTGATCTCAAATGTAAAAAAAAAATTATTCCAAAGTTTTAATTTGTTAACAAGTGTACTCTTAAATAATATTTGTTTTTTCATGAGTAGACGTAATCGAGGGTTTATCCCAATGTTTGAATCGCCACGTGTTCCTCTTACAGTGGAAGAATCAAAATCCCGCAGACAGGCACACGGGACGAAAGCAGAGAAAAGCTAAAGCGAATGCAAGAAATTGAAAACAGATTCCCGTTCCCAGCTTGAGCCTCCTTCTGTTTCTGTTGCATCCCATAACTAACGCGCGTTGTTCGAGTAAAATGTCCCGAAACGGCGACGTAGAGGAAGAGATCGCGGCCACGCTAAGAAACAGAACAGACCCTTTCTTGGTGGCGTGCCGGGGCTTCAGCTTCATCACCTCTCTCGCCGCCATTCTCTGCATCGCCGTCAACGTTCTCTCCGCCGTCCGTTCCTTCAAGCACGCATCTGACGTAACACCTCTCTCTCACTCACACGATTTTCAATCTACGCTTATCACTTTCCGTTACCGTCTAATACGAGCGTGTTTCAGATTTTCGACGGCATATTCCGGTGCTATGCGGTTATCATAGCGGCTTTCGTGGTCCTCGCCGAGACCGAATGGAGTTTCATCCTCAAGTTCTCTAAGGTTCCGTTTGATCATCATTTTACGGTTATTCGATCAGTTGTTAACACTCTCGTGTTGTTTACACATTGCGTGTTTTGTCTTAATCTAATTTTAACGATGATTCCTTTTAGGTTTTGGAGTATTGGGCCGCCAGGGGTATGCTGCAGATCTTGTACGTGTTCCTTTCGATTTACTCACATTTATCATACCTGTTTCCACGACTCTTTAATTTTAACTTTACCTATTTTGTATTATTAATTATTGTGATGTCATATCATATCATAGAATATGTTAATAGTACTTTCTTGCATTCATAATCTTTTAATACGCCTCTGTTGACCATTTCCTTAATCTTTAGATGCGTTTGTTTGATAAGTAATAAAGAAATACGTGAGAAAACACATAGATGGAAATAGGGAAGATATGTGAAAATATGGAAATAGAACGAAAACAAAGAGTATTCGGTTTTAGAGAAACTAATAAGAAATGAAGAAGAGTTAAACGGGTGAATAGAAATAAGTCATAAAGTTAGGTAAATAATTAGTGAGTTCCATTTGTTTTTGTTTAAATTTTTATTGTCTCTTATTTTCTTTCTACTAAGCACTTTCATTTTTTGTTTTTTACTCTATTTCTCTTTCACCAAAGAGAGTATAAATGAAGTTCGTTAAGGAATATGACACAACGGGTAGTTTTAAACAAGTTTCATTTGAGGTGATAATGCCAAGTATAGCTCGTAATAATCGATCTTCGGGTGAATACGAGGATTCTTTGGCCATTTGAGGTGTTAATTTACCCACTAAAACATCACCGTTTCTACCCACGAGGATCACAATTCCATTTTTGTCTAAATTTCGGTAAATGGGTTCAGATGTGGAATTTGATTAGTGATTCTTTCAGATACCTTTATACTATAAAACACATGCTGATTTACTTTTATATTCTGGATTAGTAAATGCCTTTTTCTCTAATAATTTTTTGTTTCTTACTTATCCTTGGTGAATGTTAGCAAAACCATTTTTAATATTAGATGTTTAGTTGTAAAGTTCAAACTGCAATGATGTTATTTAATTGCATGTTGTTGGGGGAAGGGAACAGTGACCACTTGGAAATGTTAGCAGTATGTTGTTAATTGGGAACTAATATTTAAAATGTTGTGAAAGTCGCTACTACTAGTATTGCTGTGATTTTGTTTTCTTCGTAATGCATGTAATTTGTGGCTTGGTTTCTGAATAGTGGTTTTATTTGTGCAGTGTTGCTGTCATGACAAGGGCTTTTCCTGACTATATTGGAGACCGAAAGAACCTTTTTCTTCTTCAGAGCATAGCGAGTTATTTGCTACTTGCCTGTGGCGTTGTTTATGTTTTTTCAGTAAGATCATTGAAGAGAAACAATCTATTAAGTTATATAATGTGTTTATTAATTCAATTTAGTGTTAATGTTCATAGTTATTGGTAATGCTGATACAAGTTTTTTTTTTTTTTTTTTATCTTTTTCATTCTTTACGCAAGTATATTAACTTTAAAATTTGCAAATTTTCTCATTCAATTTAGTTGGTTAGTCTATACAGTATTATCAAAGAGAGGTTATATGAGTTAAACATTTTCTTTTCTTCTGTTTTAGTTTTTCCTAAATACTTTTCATTCTAGGATACCTTTACTTGCGTAAAGTGTTCTATTGCCAAGCAGACTTGGTATTTTCATTTCCCACTCTTTACTATGATTCTCCTGAATGAACCTTGTGATAATAATTCTTTTCTATTTGGAAATGGGAATTGAAAGACAAAGTTGGCATTCTTTTTTGCTTTCATTGCGTTAATTTCTTCTCTCTTCAATGATGACATGCTTTGCATGATTAGGAAAACCTACATACTGACGCACTATAGAGATCTAAGATGGATTAATATTATCACAATATGAATAAACTATTGTCATTGTCACATTCCGTGAGACTGCGCGAACGGTGACTATGATTTGAAAATATTGTGTAAAGTAAATACCTACTCAAAACTTAAAATATATAAGTTGTAGGAGGTTTGCATCTTTTCATGTTAAATTGTTGTAGTCATATTGCAATAGTGATTTCTCCTTTTCATGTTCATGATCATTGCTGGAGATTGGTTACAAAGATCAATCGCTTAGGCTTGTTTTTAATCTTACTTCTTAAACTGAGAGGATCAAGACTCTTATTTTTATCCTTGATTTCTTATTCCATCTGACTTATCAAAAAACTTTCTTTAATCTGAATATCAATTTCCTTTTTTTTATTATTTCTCTCCTCAATGAAGGGTATCCTGTGCATTGGTTTTCTTAAACGTGCCCGCCAGAAACAGGAGATTACAAGAGAGCAAGCAGCCAAGGATCTCGAGGTATGCTGTTATTTTAAGATGTTATGATTTAATCTGATTCAAATCTATTATTTGTGGTTCCATAGTTGCAATAACATCCTCTGTTCGTCCTACAATAACTGCAGTTTTAGCCATTAAAAAAAAAAGTTATAGTGACTTATGTTCTCACCTTTAATATTTTTCCCTCCTATATTGTCCTCAAATTAATTAATCTCTCTATCGTCAAAGTAATGCATTTATTAAAAGAGTGAAATGTTTCAGTAAAATTATTTTAGAAAGTAACATATTTATTGTTGTTTTTAATCTGTATAATTTACCTTAAACAGTAGTCATTGTACAACGAAGAGCGTAATGAAATTCTGATTTTGACATGATGCCTGATCTGGTGATATGCTTTGCATGATTAGGAAAACAGACATACTGACGTGCTACTGAAATCTAAGATGGATTATCATATCAAAATATGAATATGCTGTTGGCATTTTCCGTAAAACCGTGTGAAGTCTGTGACTACAAATTTGAAAATACTTCGTAAAGTACAATACCTACTCAAAACATAAAATATGACATTCATGGGAGGTTTGCATTTTTGCATGTTAGATTGTTGTAGTCATATTGCAATAGTGCTTTTCCCTTTCATGTCCATGATCATTGATAGAGATTGGAATAAATTAGGCTTGTTTTCAATCTTACGTCTTATCAAAAGTTATTTTTTTACCAAGAAAATCTGCTGTATTTACTTGCTCTTATGGATACATCCAGGAGTTGGAACGGCGCAGGGAAGAACTTGAACAACTACTCCTTGACCCAAGAGTTTAAAACATTTAAAAGTAGTGGTGAGCTGAAATATCAGAGTAGTGTGAAGATTAGTCTACTGCAAACCAATGAATCTATGTTCATCAGTATTGCTTACAAAATTGTTTTTTCATTTTTTGTAACAGAGTTATGTTCTTAGATATAGGCTATTAAAAGGTGGGCTATTGGCCTATTGTTTGTAAATATATAAAGCAATTTTTAAAATTGTGTCTCACTTTTATAGAAACTTGAGTCCGTACCTGACGATATAATAAACTCTTCACATTGTTAGAGCAGTTTCTTTTGTAATAGTAACATTTTGATACTGTGATTGGTTGAAGGTATTTTGAACATTTATCGTATTCAGTTACTAATTTTAGAACTAAGTATCACAATCAGAATTCTGTATTGAACGTTGTCATTATCATCCTGGTTCTGTTTTAGTGTCATGGCCATCCTTTCACTGATTAAGCACGAAACAAATCTCAAGGTGTGATCAAGCGCTACAGCGAATGCTCTTCCCAACAATTTTTTTCCTTCGTATACATTAATCTCAAAATTGAACAGGACGGGAAAAAAGATCTTTAATTTAATTTAAGAACACATTCTTCTTGCTTTTTTTTTTTTAAAAGAAATTGTATGAGAGGTAGAAGTGAAATGTGTAAGTAAGAGATAAAGTTATTGATCATTTATCTTCGGGGAAATCATGCTCAACTTTCAACTTTCAACTCTCTCGTAGAGATAATCATCTGCTTGAACACTTTTTTTTTTTTTTACTTTAGTCGGTTTTTGGTTTGAAGTCTTAAAAGTGAAATTCTAAGAGATAAAAGAATGTCTCTTTATTTGTACACTCAGTCACTAAACCAAGCTGTCTATTGATTTAGTTGAAATCATAAATACTCAAAAGTTCAATGAAGCATTAAGATCATTCAAAGAACTCTATCTATAAACACTTCTAATAGAGAAATAAAATCATTAGATAAAATTAATTTCTAAATAGTTAAATAATAGAAGTTATTTCTAATTAACTTTTCTAGAATTTGATTTTTTACGTATAAGATAATTTTGAGTTGTAATATTTTTTTTTCCTTGTAGAAATTCATACGAAGATTAATCGCAATAGATTATAAATTTTATGTATCACACCTGGCTTATTTTAGAACTACCTAACCCATTTTGCTTGCTTAAGTGCTGGTATACTTTCAATTTTCAATTGGGAATTGAGAGTAATAGAAGCAACATATTTGGAATCGTCAACAGATGTGGTTCTGAATAGAGATGTACAGAGAAATTTCATTAGGATATTCAATTTCAGCATCCTTGAGTATCTGCCTTTAGAGAGTATTAATTGGGCCTTTTCTGCTTGTTCTTCTTCGATCGATTCCCGTTTTGAGAAAATTTTGCAAGGCCGTTTCTAAATGCTTCAAGATCTAGCCCATTTCTAACCAAAATACTTGTTACTCCAATTTTTGAGATCTGTGATTACCACTACAAATCATGTTACGTATATAACACATTTATAATCCTTATTTTCAACCAATGTACAGTAAATTCTCATATAATTCTGTATGACCCAATCTTCCAACTCAAAGACTCAGTTGAAAATGTGGAAGCAACATTGGTAAGAAAATTTAAGAAACTTCATCAAAATAAAAAACGACAGACGCAAATTCTATTACCTGTTGGATGTTATTATCATCATCGTCAAAGAATAGCATGGAGTTATAGGGGACCCCAGTCTTTGAAAGAATTTTTTGAAAATGATCTGTCTTGTGTGTCCAGCTGTAAAATATTTCCTGAACAATGAGAAAGAATAAGTAAATTTGGTCAACACATGAATCTGGTTACGTTAAGGAGGGAAGGCTTTAAGGATTATGTAAGAATTTCATCCGCAAAATTCAAGGCAAGAACATTGAATGGTTGTAAGAGAATCACAAGTTTTTGCTACTGCCCTGCTATATATTCTATTTTTCATGATTCGAATGATCATTTGGCTACCACAATCCAGTTATTTCGGTGATTCTGAAATCTCTAACTTCAAATTCCAAAAAACTAAAGAATCGATATGTTGTCAGTGGTCGAATTCCTGTTGAAAATCAGATGCAGGGTTAACATCACTTCAGTTTCCTATTAGGCTCGGTTATATTTCAACGTATACTTGCTAAGGACAAACTCAAAAAGATGGGGGCTATTAATTGAGGATATACTCGATGTTGTTTCTGTGATTCCTTTGAGGAAACAGGATCCTCCTATGTTGAGTGCGATTTTGCTCCAGCTTTATTGCATGCTATTTGATGTAAAAAAAAAATGAGGAACAACATCATCATTTTTAGCCCTGTCTGATGATAGAATAAGATTATGGGACACAAATTATTCTTCCATATTTTGACCTTAAATATACTTATATCTACAACAAGAATTTAAATCAAATTTTACTATTAAAAAAAATATAAGAAAAATCAAATATATTTTTTTATCGAAAATATCATAGATTTTAAGTCCATATTATCATCTATTTCATTATTTATCAAAAGTTATGTATATTAAGATGTACTATTTTATTAACTCAATACTATTTGGTACCAAATATTTCACTTAAAGCATTATCAAGTATTTGAACTAAAAAATGGCAACTTGTGGTGCGGGGATAAATTCCTGCCAATGAACCAACCTCTTGTTAATCACTAGTTCAATTTTTTTTGTTTTTTTATTTTATTTTTTTATTAAGGTTCAATTAGAATAGCCTTTCCTACAAGCATGGAAAAAAATAAATTACAGCAACCTCTCTTATAATTTGAAATTCATCTACCTTTTAAAAGCTTTCTGGTTCAACTTTCCCATACCAACTAATGTACATAAACTAGTTTTAATTAACAAGAGAAGCTTGTTTCAGCACACTTGCTTAATTTATCTAGTTTTTTCTTTTAAAAGTAGTTGCTGTCAAGTGAGTGTATCTTACAAAAGGAGCGAATATGAAAGTATCATCTTCCCAAATTAAAACATTAAAAAACCGAAGCAAATACAACAATATCACCTCATTTATATTTGACTCGTAGCAATGGCACAACCACGACATGAAACAGAGACAAAAATTGAAGACAAAGACAGACAAACAGAACACACCTCGGCGACAAACATTGACCTGATGCTGAGTTTGTGAAGATACGTGGTTGCAATGTCAGGAGTTGGTGACTTAGAAGCAATTGCAACATCAATCCTCTGGTGTTTGAGTGCGTGCAAAATACCTCTGGAATGAGGAAACAAAGAAGGCGTGTCGTTCTTCGATGGACACTCACTGAAATTACAAAAGAAGATGCTTTTACAAGGAGAAAAAACAAAGAAAAACATTTATGAAACAACATAGTATTATGAATATAGTGTAAGACGATGTACCAGTAGAAAGGCCAAAGAGTGTAATCGAGGTCGAAGACGACCAGCCTCGGGAGCACTTGAAACAGTCCCATGACTTGCAGTGCCTCGGCCTTCACCCGCTCCACGTCCTCCATTCCTCTCCCCTTCCAAATTGGATGGATAATGGCTTAATAGTTCTTAAATATTCTTCCACTGAAGTCATATCTACATTTTTATCTATTTTATATATTTATACATTTATTATGTTTTTTTCTTTATTTTTTTTAATGAGTTCCTTATAAATGTTAAGATAACTTGAATAACTTCACAATAAGTTTTTTCTTTAAGAAGATTTTTAATAATATTGATCCAACATCGAATTATTTAATTCACAACAACGATTAATATTATCAAAACTAAAATAATCAGATATTTTATTCAATTGTTATGAAGATTATATTCACCTGTATTATAATATTATCAGATAAAAAGTTCATGAATACAATTCCTTGTTTCAAAATAAATATTATTCTCTAAGGTTTTTAAAATTTCAATCACGTTGTTATTATTTTATGCTAAAATCAAAATAAAAAAATTATCAGAGACAAAATAAAAAAAATATTGTAACAACAAAATGACCTAGCATGTAAGAACTGGTAATGCCTCATCAATTTAATAAATGAGGAATTAAAAATATGGTTTATTGTTTATTGTTTATATTCTTTTAACACAACATGAATATGGTTTATTAATTCGAATTTAAAATTTCCCGGACCCGGTATGAGTGGTTTGACCCGAATTGTGAGTGGCATGAAATCGAAAACGATAACGAGCAGAGTTTTTTATTTTTTATTTACAATTCTGTAGAAGGACGCTTCCGGTCACGTGCGTGTGCTGCTGGGTTCTCCTTCATCGTCCTCTCTTGATGAAGGTAACACTTACACTAACATTTGACTCATCTTATCTTTGTGGGTACTGATGTTTCATTTTTTGGATAATCCATTCCGCTCTTTGCACCATAACAGAAAATCAACTATAATTTCTGTTGATGGATTCATAGGGGTACTTGCTTGTTGTTGTTTAGCAACTTGGAGTTGTGGCTTCTGATAATTTAGTGAGCAACTGGGGCTGAGTTCGGATTGTCTTTGAAGTGCATTAGGGTGTACCTTGTCTGTGTACTTATCCTTGAATTTTAGTGTCTACTTTTAACTTCAGTGGAGGACGTTACACCCTTATGAGCTTATTCGGGTAAATTTGATTACTTGTTTGTTTTCATGTAATTAGTGTTCTAAATTCTATCATTGTTGGATGCTTCCGGATTGTTTATAAGCTATTCATTTCCAACATATTCCCATTTTTTTTGACATAAATCTTCTGTTAAGTGTAGAAACCTGCAAAACTCATTCTTTTAATTTTTGCTGTTAGTATGATAAGTACAAGATGATAGCATCATGTAGATCACTGCCAGTGAGAATTTCTGCTTCTTGTTGAATGCCTTGAATCAATCCGTCCAAATCCCCCTCCCAAAACCTTTCTTTCAAAAGTGCTTCCAATCCTACTTCTGGATTTATGGTGCATAAATACTAATGGTATTGGTGGTCTTACAGTAATTTGAAAGATATTAATTATCTTGTCTGATGTACATTCCACCAAACTTTTCTTCCTATTCTTATCTACTATAATGCACACTTTCCTCTAACTTTAATGACATACCAAAGTTTAAATTATATATTGTTTATCTCGTTAGCTTTTTCTCCACGCCCCATATTGTCAAAGTATCTATAATCCAAGGACTAGATCTAATCAAGCATTCCTAGACTACCTTCTTTACCTAGATCAGTTTAGAAGAATGTGAAGACCCCTGTTCATTTAACATTCTGTTAGCAACAAAATCAACGTAGTCTCCATGCGATGGGTTTCCACTTCTTTCTCTCATAAACATTTTGAACCTTCATAATATGCCCTTCTAATTTTTTTCTCGTATCAATACCTCCCTCTTTAAAATTCACCTTGTCCTCAAGTTGAAGTTTAGGAAATGCTTCCATCATCTTACTCCTGGATTTTGATGAATTCTAACAATCGAGTATGTTCTTCCACTTCATAACACTTCTAAAACCTCTTCTGGTTGGACTTGTAACTCAAAATCCTCAGTCACATATGATGGTGATGGTTGGATAGCAGCTTCAGCTGTCACAGTCGGCTTCAATAGAGACACATGAAAGACTGGATGCACCTTGCTCTCCTCAGGCAGTTTCAATCTATAAGCCACTTCTCCAATCTTCTCAATAATTTCATATGGACCATAATATCTCGAGCTAAGCTTCTGATTAATTCTCTTAGCCAACTTCTTCAACTTGTATGGTTGTATCTTCAAATATACAACATCCCTAACCTTATACTCCACGTTCCTTCTTCTTTTGTCAGCCTGCTATTTCATCCGATTCTGGGCCTGCACCAGGTGACCCTTCAGTATACTTAGCATTTCATTTCTATCTTGTATCATCACTACTACTTCATCTATGGAGGCTACTAAAACATCTCCTCTAATCACTGGAGGAGGATCTCTTCTATACATTGCCTTGAAAGGCGTCATCTTAGTGGCCTCATGGTAGTTGGTATTATACCAATACTCAGTCCAACTAAGCCACTTATGCCACTGTCTAGGTTTATTGTCAATCATGCATCTCAAATAAGTCTTCAAGCATTTGTTCACCACTTCAGTTTGCCCATCTATCTGCGGGTGATATGCAGAACTGAATTTCACTTAGTCCCAGCCAAGATTATCAGACTTGAGAGTCTACATAGACTCGTGGTAGGTCTGTAAATTCGACTCGTAAGAGTCTACTTCATATGAAAAATACTAATTTAACAAAAAATATGATAATATCAATTCCACATTACTAAAATAAATAAGTTCATACAATAATACATTAATAAAATACAAGTTTTTAAAGTGATAAGATAACAATGAAATAAATAACTACAAAACACAAATGTTATCAAATTTATATGTCTTCATTTAATCCTCTAATGAAATCATCTCCCTCGTGATCTTCATCACCATCTTCATTATCACCATTAAGTTCTTCCTCCTCAGATGAGAAATGTGCATCAACATTGGGATAAAAGACTATATTATCAAACTCAAGTGCATCTAAAGTTGGATCATATGAACTTGGCCTAACTAAGTCAACATTTCCACCATCACCTTCCACTTGAGTTTGCTCAACCTCAACAATATCTCCCTCTTCAGTTATCCATTCATCATTTGACTCAATATCATCAAATGGGAGAGTAACACTTTTCCTAATTTGTTTATTTTTCAACTTCAAGTTATACATGACATAAACCAAATCATTCATCTTTTTCTATTGCGAGACGACTTCTTTTTGTATGAACCTATAATTGAAGAATCAATTTTAATAAATATATAAACCAAATCAAGATAATTAAAAAATAAATAATTAAATAAACTTAAATTATCATTTTAAATGAGCTCCAATTACGTTTACACCCAGAAGAGCTATAAGTTAAACTCAAAATTCGAATAGCGAACTTCTTCAACTCTGGAGTTCCATCCCCAAACATCTCCCACCATTCTCCAGGGAGCATAGCTTTCCTACAATTCTTTGCATCTTCCATAGAAAAGAGTCATTTTGCATAATAAAAGTCTGAGTTGTAAATTGATTTTTTCCCTTTCTACAACATCATTAATCAATCTTTGCATACATGTATACAACCCTATTTTCACCTCAAGATCATCATTTCTGAAATTAGACTCATAGTGCAAATGGGAAGGTAATAAGCCGTTGCATGCAAATGATTATGGAGTTGGTTATCCCACCTCTCATCAATTATTTTCCAAACAGGTTCATAACTACAAAAATACCAATTATGCTATATTAGAAGTTGGTTACCAATGAAGTAATTAAATTCTAAATGATATAATACAAGGTTTAAATTTTTTATCTTTTCTTAATATTATTGAAGTTATTCTTAATCTTCTTCTTTGCGCAATCCATCTCTTCATATATGAAACCCATTGCAGGTTTTGTATCTGAATCCACCAATCGAAAGACCACCATAAGAGGGGCAACAACTTTTAGGCATGTAGTTACATTCTTCCAAAAACGACTATCTAATACCATGTTCTCAATTTTTCTCCCCTCTTGTGAGGTCCCAAATTTGCTTATTTTCAACTCTTGAGAACTAAATGTGCTCATCAATGATGCTTTCAATTCATGAAGACAAGCTAGAGTCAAATAAGTTGTGGCAAATTTAATCATACCAGGCCTTATCAAGTCCCTTCTATTTGTAAACTTCTTCAATATGCTAATTAACATTGTTCTACCACAAATGTAGGTGGTGATTCTTCTTCCGTTCTTGATAGTTACTTGGTGGACCTTCAAATTTTTCTCAAAATCTTCAAAGATTAAATAAATACAATGGGCAGCACATGGTGTTCAATATGGATGCTTTCGTTTCTGCATTAACAATTCTCCACCTGCCTTGAAATTTGTAGCATTATCAGTAACCACCTGCACTACGTTATCTTCTCTAACAAATTTTACTGCATCATCTAACATCTTAAATACCTTATCTGCAGTCTTTGAGATGACTGAGGTATCTAATGAATAAAGAAACATAGTCCCTTTAGGATTGTTCACCAGAAAGTTACAATTTGAACGCCTTTTTTTATCTGTCCACCCATTAGACATAATTGTACAATCTGTTCTCTTCCACTCATCCCTATACTCTTAAAGAATTATATCAGTTTTTTCCACTGCTTGTTTTAGAAGCTTCTCCCTAACATCATGATAAGATGGAGGTTTATAGCCAATACCATATCTCCCCATCATCTCACACATCTTTGCAATAGCTGGATTTCTAATAACATTGAATGGAATGACACTTGTGTAGAAAAATTTAGCAATTTAGACATCTACCTTTTCCTTATCACCGTTCTTGTATAATTGATTTAGAGTAGCTTGGACTCCATCACTAGATTTATTACCTGTTTCTTTATTTTTAAATATCCTACTATTTTTACTTTGTTCATCTTCAATCTCCTCAATACTATTCAACCTTCTCTTATTCATTGAGACATCCTTAGCTTCTGCTACAACTTTCATCATTAAAATTTAATTTCTTCCGG